GGCGGTAAAGAATATTCTCAAGTACCTACGGAGGACTAAGGAGTGGGTCCTTACCCTTGGTGGGAGTGATGACTTGAGAGTAGTAGGGTATAGTGATGCTAGCTTCCAGACTGATACGGATAATTTCCGCTCTCAGTCAGGCTGTGTCTTTACCTTAAATGGAGGAGCAATTACTTGGAAAAGTTCCAAGCAAGAGATAGTGGCTGATTCAACTTGCGAATCAGAGTATATAGCAGCAAGCGAGGCAGCAAAGGAGGCTATATGGCTAAAGAACTTCATTGGAGACCTTGGAGTTGTACCAGCTATAAAGGAGCCTATGGAAATTTTTTGTGATAGTGAAAGTGCAGTTGCCTTAGCCAAGGAACCAAGGGATTACGAAAGATCCAGACATATCGACAGAAAATACCATTTCATCAGACATCGAATAGAAGAAGGACTCCTCGTGGCAAAGAGGGTATCATCGGATGAGAACCCAGCAGATCCCCTCACGAAAGGACTGAGTAGGGTTAAGCATCTTCAGCATGCGAGGCGCATAGGGCTAAAGGATGATATAAGTTTTAGAAGTTAGATAGTTTTTGAAATATGTAAAGTGTAATTGACATTTGATGATGAATAAAAGTTGTTGTTTATTTATGAGTAAAGTGTTGTTATCTTCTGTCAATCATTTACTAGTATTTCTTTTTGCATGTTTTGACTTCCAGAATAATTATGTTATGGTATGTATCATACTATTCAAATTCTCCACAGTCGGTCATATGTTGGAAGTAGATATGAATCAAGACTGTCATGAAGTTGGTTGTAGATGTCTAAGATGTTGGACATAGCAAAGAGTTGCTACAACACTCATGAGTGCTCATAAGTTCTGAGTATTGGATTCAACCCACGCTCACTTGTATCACTTCATGGAATTTATCTCGAGTGATCGTGAGACGGTAATATCATATAAATCTTCAAACCTAGAGATATGAGTTGTTGACTATGAGCTGGTTATACATTGATTGTGCGAAAACGCATTGGTAACTCGATGTTATAAAACCTACCTTTGTGTATAATTCAACAAGTAGTAGAAGAAGCATATGAGTCGAAGTTTATCTGTTCCTTCTGAATTAGAAGCGATATCTGGGCCCCTCGATGATTTTGTTTTGACCTATGTACCGGGCCCGGTCATTACTAAATTGATGTGTTCGATTAAGTTCTATGTCAAACAAATCGGAAATCGGGAAACAAACTGCTGGACAATAATTAAGACATTGTTCCATGTATTTGTCCGACTGATATCATGAGAACAGAGGATTATATGATCACTTATCTTAAATGGCGTATCATCATCATCTCAGTTCTGAGAGACTTTGAAAGAGTTACGATTGCTAGTCGGTTCCTGAAGTCATATCTGCAACTATAGTTATTAGACTTATCCAAGTGGGATATTGTTGGACATAGTGTCTAAGTCCATAACTATATTCAGTATGTACTTGACCCGACCCGACATGGTCCATTTGGGTTGCATGGCATTGCAACACTTGGATAGACAAAATAAGAGAAAGGACACTTAAGGTTTATTAATATATTATAAGTTCTAATATATTAATAATATTATTTAATTAGTATTGATCAAGAATTAATTTAGAATTAATTTTGTGATCAAATAAAGACTAATTAAATATATGGGGTTGATTATGTAAATCATCTATTCTTATATAGTGGGCTAATGATCCATGGTTTAGTTGGGCTAAACCCATAGGGTGCTCCATGGATAGTCCATGGAGGTTATAAACCCATGGATTATGAGAAATGAAAAGCCATGTCAATTAGGGTTTACATGGTGTAACCCTACTTGTGACACCACTATAAAAGGATCCCCTTGGCTCCCAAAATCGGCACTATGTGAAAAACAAGAGGGCTAGCCGATTTTGAGTGATAGTATACTTATCTCAAAGTTATTCCAAGAGTTGTGGTGTTGTGTGAAGCATTTGAGGCATCACATTTGGGGTCCTAGGCTCACAAAGTTCTCAAGGAATCCAAGCAACAAAAAGGTATGTTCTTCTACTAGTTTTTATGTTTCAAGTACTCCATAACATGCTAGTTAGGAAGTAAACCTTGGAAAATAATTATTTGCATGTATCTTAGAGAAAACATAGATCCAAGGTTTCTAGGGTTGCATGTACACCATATGAGTGTTAGAATGCTCAAAACCCATCAGTTTTAGGGACGTAATGTGAGGATAACGGGAATGGGTAATCGGGTTATTGTTGGTTGATGAAATTAATAAACTTATTTATTGTGGGTTGAAAACCCTATGTGCTCACCAGGCTCCCAAGCCTGACCCACTCAGTTTCATGTATTACAGGTAGTGGCGCTCGAGCATAGATGTGATGTTTTGGATGATGGATTACAGATTATAAGCCTGTAGATATGAATAAATGTAGTAAGGCTTGTATTGTACTGTTTATGCTTTTGATCTGTATCGAACATGAATCCCGAGGTTTTTAATGAAATACATTTCTTCGGAAATGCTTTGATAAATCTCTATCATATTTTATTTTGGGAACAAATTCCGCAACACTTTTCTTTAAAATGTTACTCTGATTTTTAAACAAAGCATAAACAAATCGGTCTTTTCTGGCCGTGAAAATGGGGATGTCACACATATGAGGTATTATTTCTATAATCCAAATAATTGTTTCAAATAAATTACATATGTATGCTACGTATCATTAGAAGTTCGTGAAACCCAAACATGTATACCTATAATTTTGAATCGAGTAGATATATGAAACCTTAGAGTAATTAACTAAATGGGTCTAATGCTTATCTATCATTTTGATCAATTTACTCTATATATATATATATATATATATATATTATATATATATATATATATATCCTTCTGTCCATATATAAAACCTTAGGTCCCGTTTGATAGTTTCTGTCTGGAAAAGTGTTTTATGGTAAAGTTCTATCTGGGAAAGTTTTCTGGGAAAAAAACCATGATGTTTGATTGTACATCTGATTGACTGTGCTGAATGATGAAAAATGACCTGGTTTATGTCCGATAGTGGTGTGATGGATGAAATTTTTTAAAATAAATTAGGATGGTGGTGGTGTTGTCCAAAAAAAAGAATTAATCCAATAAAAATGAATTAAAAAAATCAACTAAAAGAAATTAATAATCCAATAAAGTAACATTTATTAATATATAAATATTATATATTATAAATAATATTTATGAATTTATAATAATCCAATGAAAATAATTAATCCATAAAAAGGAAATTAAAAAAAAAAGAATTATTTAAAAGAACTTAATAATCCAATAAAATAATATTTATTAATACATAAATATTATATATTAGAATAATATTTCTTAATATAAAATAATACATTAAAAAAGTAATAAATCAATAAAAAAATTTTAAAAAAAGTTATTTAAAAAAATTAATAATCCAAGAAAGAAAGAAAGAGATGTGGTTTGGGACATAATTGTCTTTCCAGCCCATTCAGCCAGAAATATATGATTTTGGGGCTTTCTGGGAAAGACATATCTTACCGGGAAAGACCCATTTTTTGTGCAAATCAAACAGTCTTTCCGGTCCATTCAGCCAGAAAGATATGTTTGGACCTGGAAATATGCATATCAAACGGGGCCTAACTTTAGGAGAATTATTTTAGTAGTAAAAAACTAAAAATAGAGTTATATTGACTACAAGAAATGACTGCTAAAATAGTAATTTTATAATGTAATATATTTTTGTTGGGGACGTCGTTTCCTTTTTTTATTGATATGGCTAGAAAACACCGTACACATAAGCATATGTTATCGAAGAAAGAAAAGGAAAAATGATAATCTATGTAACCGATGTAATTCAATATATTATTAGCTCAATTGATCAACATTACTAGTTATGCTTTACTTCAGAAATGGTGATGGCAGTTTATGATCGAACCATACATAGGTCGGGTAAGACTATCCATGACAATATGGTGGGGTTGGATGTATCTAATGGTGGTTGCGTTTACGAATGATGTATGGGCTAAATTAGTAGGCTCTATTTGGAGGTTGCATGATAATAATATCTACAATGGAAAAAACAATTGGGTAGGGGAATTTCTATTCGTTTTTTAACCAATATTTGGGGTGGGTCACCAACCTTTTGCTTATAGATATGATCTATTATATATGATTGATAGTCATCCTAATCGTCTGGTATGTGATTGGTTTTATGATGGTTTGTGGAGATAAATGTGGAGAAGGCCAATCCGAAAAGGGAGCAAATAGGAGCAACTCAAGTGGATCCTAAAGGTGTTGCAGGGTGTTCATGTCTCAAATGTGCCAGATTCATTATGTTTATTTTGGTAGCTCAACGATTTCATGAAAAGCAAGAAACAAGATAGTCTTCTAATGAATCAAAATATAGAGCTCCACGTTTGGTTACTTGTGATATTTTGTGGATCTTACAATTGTTTTTTGATTTTCGAGTAAAAAATGTAATAACTATAACTGTTAAGGTTTACTATGATAACGAGTATACTACTAAGCTTTAATCCAAAGTTTCATGGGATAAATAATCATTTTGAAGTAGATGTTTATTTTGTTCTAGAAAAAATTTCGAAAAGTATTTTAAAAATTGTTAAGATTATTCCTGATAAACAAAGTGCGGAATTTTTCACAAAATCGTCAACTTTTGGTCAACATAATTTTTATGTTATCAATTAGGTATTTTTGATCATTTCCAAAATTTTTTCTCAATTACGTTCTTCTCAAGGTTGATCTTCGTAGGGTTGTTGAGAATAACATAATGTGTATTAATTCAAAATTAACATTGAGAATCTCTAACTTCAAGAGTTTAGTGTAGTGTATTTCAAGATAAGGGTAGATTGTGTTTGAGTTGATAAAGATTAAGGTTGAGTTGGCTGAAACTTTAGGAGGTTGAATGGTAGAATTTGATTGTCAAGAGACACAACTTGTTTGTGTAGAAGATAACAAAAGGTGCTGGCCCTGAATGGGTCAGACTTCCAGGTTTGCACCGCTATTATGACCAATGTATATATATTATTATGTGTGACAATCCGGAATTTCAAACCTTGTAAAAGTTAACCCTGTCAACGAAAGTCAATCATGTCAAATAAAAGTCAAACTTATTTCTTTAATTATCTTATTAAGGTTAGATTAATAAAGTTTGTTGGTTTTTTTTTTGTACAAAGCGATTAAATAGATGGTGTTTTTTGAACATGAAAAACTTGAATGATGTTTTTTAAACGTTTTTAAAACAGGTCGTTTGTTTGTTTATGCTTCTAATTGGGTCCAAGGGTCCGGTCCAAAAAAGATAGATCAAAATGTTTGATTTCGTTTTTACAATTAAGGACTCGTTCCAAGCATAAGACTCGGTCCAAAAAAAAAACCTGATTCGATCCTTCCCTCTCAATCGCTGGACTGGGACGTACGTATTCGGAGTTTACCCTACGTAATTCGTTCATAACCTCCACTGAGAAAAGGCGATCGTTGAAGCAACACGACCGATCAACCAACAGGTAACAGTTTCTTCTTCGTTCTTCGTTCTTCTTTCTTCCTTCGTTCTTCGTTCTTCGTTCTTCTTTCTTCCTTCGTTCTTGGGATTTCGTTTTTGCTTTGATGTGAAGGCAAAAATTGAGGATGGTACCAATAAAATATCAGTGCAATCTCCTTTAGGATTAATAATATACTTTACAGTGAAATTGTTAAGGCAGTCGACAGCAGCCCTTACTCCCCTTATCTTGTTGAACAAATTCATCATTCTTATAATCTTCAATCTTCCATGTGACAAAACTACCCCTGTTAGTTCCTATGCATCACATGATCCCAGCAGCCATACCAAAATTAAGAGAGCAAGATAGCATAAGCTGGAAGGAGACGCTGAAAACAATGGGAAACAATGGGATCAAACATTACCATTTCTGCAATAAATTGACTTCAGTCTCTTTACAGTTCAGATAGGGCGGCTGTGATCTTTACATGGAGATGGACCAAAATATCCCTGAGAACCTTTTCCTTTTGATTTTAACCCACAAGACTACATATCAACAATAGGCCCAAAAAAAATCTGCCATACGATTTTGACAAAAATGCCCTTGCTGTAACATTCTTGCTTTTGTCAATCTCTGTAACATTCTTTTGACTTGTAATTTTCTTTGCATTAAATTCGTTCTTGATTCAGCTTTTTAGAGTTTTTCTCATTGCCTAATTAGATTGCTAATCAACTATTTTTAAACGGTGAACATGCAAATTACTATGTTGTTTTTATTTTAATTTGGATTTTGTATGACAATTTCTATTTGGATTTTAAATTATATATGTTTTATTTAGATTTTATGTGACAGCTTGTACTTGTATAATTATTTTATCTAGCAAAACATAAGGGTAATATGGTCATTTTTCATTATTATTCACCACAGTCAGTCAGAAAAATAATCAAACAGCATAAACTCAGTCAGATGTGGACACGGTCAGAACCTCTAACCCAGTCAGCTTCTAACTCAGTCAGCTCTAACCCAGTTAGCAACTATCAAACGACCCCTTAATATACATTATCCCAATAAAAAACTATAGAGCCCAAAATATTAGCGTATTTGGTAAAATTAGGATTTGCTAAGAATATATTTATGGGATAGGTAAAACAAACGCTTCGAACCCCGAGAGTATACTCGCTGATTAGTTCTTAAACCATCCTGCTACATAAGTTCCTGATTCTCAGTTTTAATTGGTAAATCATTTTATCTCGATTTTGTTTGTTTATTACTCTGACTAGATACGATTTGGATTAACTGCGGTTCAGTGGTCGACACTAAACATTAACTTTTTTCTAATTCGCTGCACTCCAACTTTGAAATCCATAAAAGAAATTCAATCATGCTCATGTTCTTCAATTTTAAGTGTCAATAAAATTATGCTGACTTGCAAACTTGGGATTGATCCATATGATTGTGATTTAGCTTAGGTGCTGTTTGTTTTCTTAGAAAAACCTCTTCAAACCACTTTCTGCTGCGCGGCGCAGCACACGCGCAACACTTTCCCTCTTGCAGCAGTTTGTTTTTTGGAAGACTTCAGACTGTAAAACCTCTGCGCGTGTGCTGCGTGGCGCAGCACTTGACTTGCCTCTTCAAACCTCTTCAGCTTTCAATTTTTTGAAGTGTCTTTTTTAGAATTTTGGTATAACTTATTTTTTTAAACTTTTTTTTTAATTTTTATTTACGAATTTTATACAATTTCTTATTATAGTTTCCACAATTTTTTTTAACTTGATTTTTAAAAAAAAAAGTTTTGATTTTTTTTAATTTTTTTACCGTTTCCGTTAATAATATTTTCAGTTTCAGTTTCATCTTTTTTTAACGTGTGTAATTTTTTACGAACTTTGTAGACATCGTTTGCAATACTTTCTTAATTTTTTTATTATTTTCTTTTTTATGTTTTTTAAAATTAGTTTTTTTCTAGAATAAAATTGTTAGTTTTTTTTATATTTTTGTAAGTTTTTTTTTTTAAAAGTTTTACATTTTTGTTTTTTTATATGTTCTTTTTAGTACTCTTTCAATGTTTTAAGACTAGAATTATTAAACTTTCGGTGTTGAGAACTATTTTTAAGTTTATAAAATTAGTTTATTTAATTTTCAGTTTACTGCAGCAGTCTGCAGATGTTAAAAAACAAACATGCTTCTTATTATGGGTTGCAGCCGTTTGTTCCACCTCTTCTGCTACAGAGGATTGCAGAGGTGGTCCGCAGACTTCATTAATTTTCGCTTCGAAAAAACAAACAGCACCTTAGTTTCTTTTTGTTTTATTTTGGATTCTAATAGTTTAGATTAGATAATAGACATGTAATGTATACAAATCCATATATTCGTGGGGACACTTAGATGCATAAGCTCTATGATTTTGTGTGAATTGCCAAGTATTTAGCAACAGGAAGATGATTACATTTTTTTTTTATCACTTAATTGCATAGTAACAATTTAATGGTATGTGGATTATTATAGACATATTTGTTGATATGATACCCACATGAAACTCCTTCAATTTTAGGTACTTTTTGCATCATTAAATTTGATTATATTAGACGGTAATGTTTGGTTTTAAGCTTTAAAATTGCAAGTGTAGGAATGGCTAAGACAAGAAGTATGACTAGAAACCAGAACCATGATGATGATGATGCATCTAGCAAGAAGAAGATGAAAGCGTGTATCTTCTGTGTAGGAATTGCTAAGACAAGAAGTATGATTAGAAACCGAAACCATAATGATCCATCTAGCAAGAAGAAGAGGATTAATAAGACTTGTGACACTTGGTCAGATCTTAACCATGATGTGCTTTTTATAATTATGATGCAACTCGGAGTTGATGATTATGTTTCATTCAGTAGAGTTTGTAAGTCATGGAGATCACTTGCAGTGTGTAACAAGAACAAGTTCATAGTGTCCAGACCACCCATGTCTTTATTTATCCCAACTGATGATGATGATGATGAGAAAAAGTGCCACTTAGAGGACTTTGAAGGAAGAAAGTTCAAATTCATTCTTCCCCATTCTGCTGGAAGAATCTGTATTGGAGCAACTTGTGGTTACTTGATATTGTGTGGTAAGGGAGCCTTTGGCTCATTTTTCGCTAATGAAAACCGTGACTTTTGGCTTGTGAATCCTATCACAAGGCATGAACTTCATTTCCCTTTCCCTTTCCCTAATATAGAATTGTACTTTCATTTTTTGGGGGCTATCCTTGTCTTTTCACCTTGTGTATCTGGATGGGTGTTTGTTGTGTTCTATAGACGAGGCAATAATGGTAAAATATGGTTTTGTATAGCGGGAAAACGAGAATGGACTAGTGTCTCCACCGTTTCCCCCATCATTGATTTACGAGCTTTCAAAGGGAAGATATATACTCTATACACGGATAATCGTTTAGGTGAAGTGACACTTTTTCCAACACCCAAAGTGACTTTACTAGAAATCAAGAACCTTCCAAACCCAACCTTTCAAAATCCGAGATTTGTGAGTTGGGGTGAAAATCTTTATGTGATGAATCTATCTTTTCATTATCCGTACCAAAAGATCTATGAAATAAATCTCAACAAAATGGAATGGGAGTCACGTGAAAAGAAAGGAGAAGAATATGGATTCTTTTTAAGCCTTTTGGATTATGGTGCTTTGGTTATAAGAGCGGAGTTATGGGCTGACCTTGCGTCCAAATACGAGAGATATGTTCGTCCTGATGGAACCGGAAAAGACAGGTTGCTGTATGCACACAGGTGGTATTTTTTTCATGATTGTTTGAATGTTAATCTCCTCCTACATCACTGATTGACTTTATTTACATCTAAACCATTTTGCTTTTGGTGGGCCCGCACAACTATTATATATAACTTACTTCTCATTTTATTTATAAGTTATAACTTATTAGGGGTTTGATGACTTTTTATTTATTTATCTTTGTATATAAAAGTTGTTGATTATAATTAAGAAAAAAAAATTAGTGACCTGTAATCAATTTTTTGGGTTACCAACCGAATTGGGTTTTGCATTATTTCTTTCTCATATTTAGTTAATTTATTTTCAGGATTGTTGCCAGTTTCTTTTATCTGCATTATAAATAGTGTGGATGTCTTTCTTTTTAATATTAGGTGCAGTGAAATTAACAGCTTCTTTACCATGTTCTTCTCCACTGTTTTAACAGTACTCTATGCAACCAAAGAGATAGAACAAAAAATATTATTATAAAAGGCGTTGATTAGTTAGATTTGAGTTTCTAAAATATCCTTCATAAGGCTAACCTTACACCTCTCTCTATAACCGAAAAGGTAGGTAAGTTCTCACTTTATTTCAACAAGACATCATGCTTAAGTATTCTAATGCATCAATCAGATGGTAGGTCACAGTATAAATCATTTGATACACTTTGTATCTAATCCAGAATATCTCAAGACTGGAACTTAGTAAATTTGTATATTCTGGAGCAAACGGAGAGCTAGGTAGGTATAAACCTTGATTTTTAAACACCATTATATTATATCATCTCTGATAGTTGCTTTCAGCTTTGAATGATAGGAAGGAAAGCGTAATACCCTCAAACAGCATCAAGATTCAAATCATGCTTAAAAACCCTTTAATTTTTTTAAAAAAAAAATCAATTAACCAAATGCTAAATTGAATCCAAACAAACAAAATTTCAACTTTCTCGAATCAAAATAACTAAAAACAGCATACGAGCATCCTAATAAGTATTAATTCACAGGAAAATGAAATTTTCACTTGTTATCTCTGAACTTGATGAGTTATCCCTTTTTAAATGACCAAGGAAAAGTATAATATTTCCTCTTTTGAAAAATTTTAAATTTAAATTATCTTTGCTTTTAGCCCACACAGCTCACAACATTTATAGCTTTTTGTCGGTTGTGATCTATTAGGAGTGAGCTCCAATGCATCAGTACTATTTTCAATATATCTATATTCACAATGGTTTTCATCTAAAACAAAACACAGTATGAAAGTTTTAATCATTCACAGATGATTAATAAATTCTATAGCTTTGTTTTTAACAAAACACAATCCGGACCCTGGTTCCTCCTTTTGGTCAAAAGACAATACAGTCATTTTAGTATACTTTGTGGCACTAACTTATTTTGATTTATGATGCCATGTCTTTATAAACAATGAAACGCGGACTATCCGTGGTTTGTTAGTGGTATCTTCTTGCACCATGAATGAGAATATGCAGATTATGTTTTGAATTTAAAGGGAGCGTTATGGTAACAGAAATGAGAAAACCACGAATTCACGATCACTATTTTTGCAGGATTGATGGTCATTTTTATTTTTTGTACCTTTAAAAATGGTTATGGGAAAGGAGAAAAGAATAGTAAATTGTCATTTTAGTGTATATCTCTTTATATTCACTAGGTTGGTTAGGATTATATTTTTGTTTAATTGTACTTTAAATGATTATTTTTCTTTAATAGTACTTTAATGTTGTAGGGTGTGTTAGACGGACTTTTGAGAGATTTTAGCTTTTAGGTTTTAAGAAAAAACTTTGTTCGATACTAAAAACTTTTAACTTTTATTTTAAACAAAATGTCATAAGGCATGTTCGGCATGAAGCTTTTTAGAACTTTTATCTTCTTTTTATTTCATTTAGGAAAAAAGCTACGTTCACAGTAGGTGATTTTAACTTTTATTTTATACAAAAGCTACTTCGAACAATGTTTGGCAAAACTAGCAAGCAGCTAGTATCTGGAAAATTATAGCTTTGTGTAGTCTTGTTCGGAAAATATAGTTGTTAGTTTTTTAAAAAACATAAAAATTAAAAGCTAAAAGCTCATAAAGCTAAAAGTTGAGGGTGGATGGAGTTATCGTGAGATGGCAATTTAGAGATGCACAAACCCAGGATCCGATCTGATCTGATCCGGTCAACAATCCGATCCGGTCAACAATCCGATCTGGTCCAATCCGGTCCGAATTCGGTCAAAATCCGATCCGAATCTAGTCAACAATCCGAATCCGATTTGAAACCGGTTTGATCCGAATTTTGTTAGCTTTTACCAAATTTTCCGACGGTTTAAGAACCGGTTTTTGTAGAATCCGGTTTGTGATCCGGGGGTCAATCCGATTTCGAGTCCGAAAAGCCAAACCGGTTTGAATCCGGTCACCCGTTTAATCCGATCCGGTTTGGTCAAAACCGGTTTTGACCGAAACCGGATTTCGGATCGGATCGGTTTCATTTCGAGGATCCGGATTTTGTGTGCATCTCTAGATGGCATAGATGAGGTGCGGTAAAAGAAGTACCTTCATGATCACAGTTGATTGACATGCTAGATGAGCGTGGGGTAGCTTCACCGTCTCTTTGAACCCACTTATCTCTTTTTCCATTAACTTGTACCATATGCTTAATTACTTGTATATTAGAAGTGAGTTTGGAGAGATTTATCATTTGTGTTGTGAACGGGGAGGATTGAAGTGAAAGGAAAGATAAAAAGTTGATATGCCCCTTGGTGGCAAGTAGATTAGGAGGGCTGATGGAGAAATATGTCTCCACCTATGGCTGTAAACGAACTGAACGTTCGGCGAACCGTTCGTGAACTGTTCGGTGGGAAGTTCGTTTATGTTCATTTATTTAATAAATGAACGAACATGAACACAAATTCTCGTTCGTTTAGTTAAACGAACGAACATGAACAATGGTCTCGTTCGTTTATTTATGTTCGTGAACGTTCGTTTATGTTTGTTCGGTTAAGTTTTTTATGTTCATATATGTTCAATTTTTTTTATTACATTACTATATTATAGTTCATTTATGTTCAAATATGTTCAAATGTGTTTGTTTATCTTTGTTCGTTTATGTTCGTTTAGCATGTTCACGAACATAAACGAACGAACATGAACAAGACGATTTGTTAAACGAACGAACATGAACAAGAAAACTCCGTTCGTTTATCCGTTCGCGTTCGCGTTCGTTCATTTGTTCGGCTAACTTAAACGAACAAACATGAACAAGCCTTTGTTCGTGTTCGTTCGGTTCGTTTACAGCCCTACCTCCACCCCAATAAAAGCTACTTGAAAGAGCTTTTTGAGCATTAACTTTTTGTTTAAAATAGAATAAATTGCACAAATGGTCCTTGTCCTATGTCGAAAATTGTCACTTTGGTCCAAATAAGTTTGGACTAGCAAAGAAAGTTTCCATTTTGTTGCAAGTTTGGTCCAATTTATATTGATTTTTTTTAAATGCCGATTTTACCCTTTATATTTTCTTTTTTTCAATTTTTTTTATTACAGAAATTAAAAAAAAAAAGAATAAATAAAATACCCAACCCCCTCTCTATAACAAATTCAAAACACTTGTTGCCACCATTATCCACCACCACCACCACCCATCGGCCACCCACCACCGCTGGCTACCAGTCTCTGCCACCAACACCACCTTCGACCACCGGTCCCTGCCAGAAAAATAAGAACGCCACAACCAGCACCCATTAGAATATCAAATATAAATTTTCCATATATAAAGAATAAAACATTCCATTTTTCTAATCTGCAAACTCAAACATTCTATTTACAATTATCTTATCGACATACTCCAACTCAAGAACAAGCAGATCATTAAACATTTAAACCCACAAGAACAAGCAAACCTTGAACCCACAAGAACATCCCGGATTGTAAAATCATAAAAATTATTTACAGAAAATCATTCAAACCTAACCAAACTAGAAAATCAGTTCCGGATCTATAAAGACGAAGAAAGGCAATCCGAACTCCGACAACGAAGAGATTTGTAGCTCCAACAAAGAATAAATTTTCTGAGTTATCTGATGGTGTTGAAAACTTTTCAACGGAGCCGTCAGTCTTCAAATACTGAAAGAAGAAACTAGGGGGTTTTCAAACTATGTCACATCAAACCCTAGTGACACCATGGCGGCAGATGAAACCGCCGCTGATGCCGACGTAGCAATTAGTTGTCGCACGTTTTCAGAAACCTACCCTAGCTCTGCCTTCGTCTCTCTCCTTTTCCGACGATGTTGAGCTTCATTCTCATTGCCTTCTACGAACAAAAAGGGTTTACAGACGATGGTTATCTCCGACAGTTTGCATATGATGGTTATCTCCGACCAACGAAAAAGGGCGGCGTCGACGCTAAGGTTTTTTTTGCAAACGTTAGTTGCAAGATAAAGGAAACATCGGTCCTCTGGTCTTCGTCGTGAGGATCTGGATCTGCAAAATGGCGATGATTTTTCATGGTGAGAGAGAGGTGGGGAAGCGATGAACTATTTTGGAGAGATGGAGTTACCCCCATTTTTAGGGCATGGGAGGGGAATGTAGATGAGATTTTTTTTTTCTTTTTTTTTAATCAGGAAATAAGTAAATAATAAAAAGAAAAGGAATACTAAAAAGAAAGGGGCAAAATCGTCAATTTAAGTATTTTCAAAAGAAAATTGACCAAACTTGCAACAAAATAAAAACTTTGGACCTTTGGTGCTAGTCCAAACTTGTTTGGGCTAAAGTGGTAATTTTCGACCTACCACAAAGACCATTTGTGCAGTTTTGTCTTTAAAATAAAGCCATGTTGTCATACAAAGTTTTTTTTATTCCCAACTTTTTCTTAAAACCGCTAAGGGTTAATGACATAAAAGCCCTTAAATTTTCAAGAAATTATTGGTTTTACCCTTTGGATTTTTTTGGGTTCATTAAAAGCTGAATTTTGCGAACTTTTTTGCATTTATACCTTACTAGCCGGTTACCAGGTTGGTAACAGGCATTCGTGGCATGCTAGATCGATGATGACCAGGCTGAAGTAGCGCAAGTTAGGCAATGACGTGTCATTCTCTTATGAGAAAATAAAAGATTATAGGATAAGTGATTGCTCCAAGATTCAAACTCGACACCTCGACAAAGATCTCCACAAACAAGCCAAAGA